TAAGTCTCAATCTGGATACATATTGAAAGTGGGAGTAATTAGCTAGAGTAGCTCCGTGCAGAGCATTGTAGACATAGAATATTTGCACAATACATACGGCTCTGAATGTGACAGACCCGTTGACTAAACTTCTCTCACGAGCAAAACATGATCATACCTTAGTACTCTTTGGGTGTTAATCACACAGCGATGTGAACTAGATTATTGACTCTAGTAAACCCTTTGGGTGTTGATCACATGACGATGTGAACTATGGGTATTAATCACATACAGATGTGAATATTGGTGTTAAATCACATGACGATGTGAACTAGATTATTGACTCTAGTGCAAGTGGGAGACTGAAGGAAATATGCCCTAGAGGCAATAATAAAGTTATTATTTATTTCCTTATTTCATGATAAATGTTTATTATTCATGCTAGAATTGTATTAACCAGAAACATAATACATGTGTGAATACATAGACAAACAGAGTGTCACTAGTATGCCTCTACTTGACTAGCTCGTTGAATCAAAGATGGTTAGGTTTCCTAACCATAGACATGAGTTGTCATTTGATTAACGGGATCACATCATTAGGAGAATGATGTGATTGACTTGACCCATTCCGTTAGCTTAGCACTTGATAGTTTAGTATGTTGCTATTGCTTTCTTCATGACTTATACATGTTCCTATGACTATGAGATTATGCAACTCCCATTTACCGAAGGAATACTTTGTGTGCTACCAAACATCACAACGTAACTGGGTGATTATAAAGGAGCTCTACAGGTGTCTCCGAAGGTACATGTTGAGTTGGCGTATTTCGAGATTAGGATTTGTCACTCCGATTGTCGGAGAGGTATCTCTGGGCCCTCTCAGTAATGCACATCACTGTAAGCCTTGCAAGCAATGTGATTAATGAGTTAGTTGCGGGATGATGCATTACATAACGAGTAAAGAGACTTTCCGGTAACGAGATTGAACTAGGTATTGAGATACCGACGATAGAATCTCGGGCAAGTAACATACCATGACAAAGGGAACAACATATGTTGTTATGCGGTTTGATCGATAAAGATCTTCGTAGAATATGTGGGAGCCAATATGAGCATCCAGGTTCCGCTAATGGTTATTGACCGAAGACGTGTCTCGGTCATGTCTACATAGTTCTCGAACCCGTAGGGTCCGCACGCTTAAAGTTCGATGACGGTTATATTATGAGTTTATGTGTTTTGATGTACCGAAGGAGTTCGGAGTCCCGGATGAGATCGGGGACATGACGAGGAGTCTCTAAATGGTCGAGACGTAAAGATCGATATATTGGATGACTATATTCGAACATCGGAAAGGTTCCGAGTGATTCGGGTATTTTTCGGAGTACCGGAGAGTTATGGGAATTCATATTGAGCCTTAATGGACCATACGGGAAAGGAGAGAAAGGCCTCAAAGGGTGGCCGCACCCCTCCCCATGGACTAGTCCGAATTGGACTAGGGAGGGGGCGTCCCCTTCCTTCCTTCTCCTTTTTCCTTCCCTTCTCCTACTCCTACAAGGAAAGGAGGAGTCCTACTCCCGGTGGAAGTAGGACTCCCCCCTTGCCGCGCCCTCCTCTTGGCCGGCCGCCTACCCCCTTGCTCCTTTATATATGGGGGCAGGGGGCACCTCTAGACACACAAGTTGATCTGTTGATCTCTCCCAACCGTGTGCGGTGCCCGCTCCACCATATTCTACCTCCGTAATATCGTAGCGGTGCTTAGGCGAAGCCCTGCGTCGGTAGCATCATCAACACCGTCATCACGCCGTTGTGCTGACAGAACTCTCCCGCAAAGCTCTGCTGGATCGAAGTTCGTGGGACGTCATCGAGTTGAACGTGTGCTGAACTCGGAGGTGCCGTACGTTCGATACTTGGGTCGGTCGGATCGTGAAGACGTACGACTACATCAACCGTGTTGTGCTAACGCTTCCGCTTTCGGTCTACGAGGGTACGTGGACAACACTCTCCCCTCTCGTTGCTATGCATCACCATGATCTTGCCTGTGCATAGGAATTATTATTTTTGAAATTACTACGTTCCCCAACAGAATTACCATGATCCAAAGTGATGACGTCATGGTGAGTTATAAGGTTTGCAGAGATAATGATTAAGGATTTTTTAAGATTGACATGCACAAGTTCAAACCAACCTGGGGCCTAATGTTGGGGATATAACTATTGAGTATAAACAGCCCAGGAGGGGCCGGGTTATACTCATGGCGATTTACCGGTGTTGAAGCCCATGAAGACACAGAAGATGGCGACTTACGAAGGAGATTTACTAAGAAAGCCCAAAGCCCAAAGGTGGATTAGGGCCCATAGATGTAAACCGCCATATGTGTGTATGACTTGTATTGTAAGGTATGAAAGAGTAGATACCGAGTCGGACACGTTTATGAACCGGCCGGGATTCTGTGAGCCGCGGGACATCAACCTATGTACTCCCTCCGTCCCAAAATTATTGTCTTACATTTGTCTAGATACGGATGTATCTAATACTAAAACGTGACTTGATACATCTGTATTTGGACAAATCTAAGACAAGAATTTTGGGACGAAGGGAGTATATAAAGTGACGACTCGGATGCGGTTTAGGGCAAGAGAGAAGAGATCGAAAGCTAGGTCAAGCGTATTCGCTCCCTGGTAATCGAAACATAAGCAATACCAACCTCAACTGGATTAGGCTTTTACCTTCACCGCAAGGGGGCGAACCAGTATAACTCCTTGTGTCTTTTGTCCCGCTTAACCCCTTTAAGCTAATCTCGTTGCCATGGCTCCACGACTAAGTCCTTGCACTAGGACATCTGCTGTGACAACCCCACGATAAAATGCCTACAAATGTTTCCATGCAAGCATATGGGCAAATGATATGCAAATGAGCACGCAAAGGATGAACTTGATGACACAAAAGAGGACGGCTTGCTAGCATACCATGTCTTGCATCCCGATGCCGCTCACGGGGCGGGCCTTGACGTTCTCAAGAGTGGCGCAAAACTTGTTGCACTCTTTTTGGATCACCCTCCATCACATGGAAATGGAGACCCACCCGCGCGTGCTCACAAATTGGTAAGGCGGAAACTTCTTGCGCTCATGAAACTCTCGGTGGACACGAATCCAAAAGGTTGAATGCTTTTGCTCGGCGCCCGTCTTGTCCAATGTATCGCCAACACTCGCAAAGAAGCTTGTCCTCGGCCGCCGTGTATGCATTCGTGCGCTTGCTCTTGCGCTTCGGCTTAGGACCGGCGGCTTGGTTGGCGAGCTCGTCCTCGAACATAGGCTCCACTTCGATGTCACACCCATCGTCTTCCTCTAGCCCGTAGTCGTCCGAGAACTCGTGGTCGAGTGAGAAGCCGTCCAGGTCGATGTCGACCTGATCACGCATGAAGGTCGCCTGATCGGGATCATAGCCAGCGGCTGGCGTGAATGCCCCGCGGCTGTCCTGGCTTGTGTCTTGTCGGGATCGTAGCCAGCGGTTGGCGCCCCGCCCTTGAAGATGAGGTTTTGCATGTAGTCCTCGTCGACGGCGGACGGCATTCCCTCGAACAGGTTGCGGGCGTCCGGGAGCACGCCGGCCGGCGTCTGCCGCGCGCGTTTCCTCGCGCCGCCGGATGACGAGCCACCGGCCACCGGGGTGGCGTTGAGGTCGATGGGCGCGGGCGCGGGCGTGGAAGACGCGACCACGCTCACGTCGGGCGAGCACTCCTCGAAGAGATGCGGGTAGACGTGAAAGCCGGGCATCGGGTTGCAAGCCGACGCGCGGGGCGAGTCGGGCAGCACCATCCAAGGAAACGCCGATGAGCCCGTGCTGGCCGCGACGACGGCGACGTTGAGGAGGCTGTGCTGGCTAGGGTTTAGCCCTAGCATGTAGAGCGCCTCCCTCATTAAGGCGGCGACGCGGGCGGTGGTGTCCTCCTGCTGCGCAGAGGTGGCCTCATCCCTCGCGTCCGCGGCGTGCCTCCGGTCCTTCCTCTTGGCCGACTCCCTTGCCCTTTGTGCAGGCGTCAGCGGCTTCTTTGGCTTGCCCGCGGCGGCGGTCTTGCGCGGGGCACGAGGCTTGCCTTTCCAAGAGAGGCGACGACGTCGAGGTCGATGGTGTTGTCCATGGCGGGTGTGGGGCGGGAGCGCACGGGTGGGAGGGTTTTGGGGGGAAATGATGGTGGCTGCCACCGACCGGCGGGCCCGGGGAGAGTAGGTGCGTGCGCGTCTGTCTCGTGTTCGCGCCGATGCAAACCCGCTCAAAATGGGCCGGGAATGGCTCACCCGCGAACAAAAAACGAATGCGCGTCCATTTGGGTCGGCTCGTTGGGCCGCTTTTTGTGTCCACGCCGACCTAAACGGACACCAGCGGACGGAATGGTCGCCCCATTGGAGTTGCTCTAAGAAATTCCGTGAGAATCATGATGGCAACCGTCACCGGACCTCCTAAACTCGTGATTGTTTCAGATTGCTCAGTTCAACATTTCTTTGTAGATTTGCTGGTGTCTGCACCACAGGTCATCATACATTACATTCACACTGGTAAGAGAGGTCAATACAGTCTAGATGCTCCACAGGGAATACAGAGTAGACATGCACCCAACAAATTGTTTTACTCATGTATACTAGGTATCAGAGGGTAATACACCTCCAATCAAAATAGCTTGGAAGGAAAATAGTAGCATTAGAAACAGGGCCCAAGCTTGTGAGTGACATCAATAGAGTAAATAAACCAATATGATACATGTGATATCAACCAGGAAAGAATTGGAAAACAAGAATTCAACTAGGCAACTGTACCGATGGATGTAACTTACAGCACACATGGGTAAAAACCACTAAGAGAACTCTGCATGATGGAAGGGTGGAGCTTTAGGGAGAAGAGCCCCAACCTGCCGGTAAACGCCATCTATCCTGCCGCCGTAATTCAGGTGCAGCACTACATGTGCTCCTCGCCTCCTCAGACTCTTAACAAACTGCTCGATTGCTCCAGCAGCTAGAGCAGAGATCAGATAAGCCTCAGCTCATATTCACCAGCCATCGTGATGTACCGAACCCAAGGGAGGGCCTGGTATCCACTTTTCTCGATCACTTTCAGATAACGAACCTGCAAAGGTATAACATGGTATATGAGCAGGATACACGGCTGCCAGAGAAAGTTGTGAGGCAGCTAACTGTTAACAGATCTACAACAAAAGCTGATGGAGCACCTGAATGCCTGAAACAGTAAAATATGGTATCTCAAATTTCACACGTATTGGGGCCTTCTTTTCAGGGGTTGCTTCTTCCGAGGTTATGCTGGGAAGACTAAATTCTGCTCTACACATATATTCCTGATAGATTAAAAGGTCCAGGGAGTTAGAGCAATAGAGCAAAGAATAACATGGAAGCCAAAGTGTTCATATGGAACTGTATCAGGACCTACCTTGCCACCAGGAAATGATTTAATTTTCCAGACCATTGCGTCTCTCTCGGGTGCATATGCCGCAGAACCCATTGAAGTCCTTATATTTGGGTTTGTGGCATCATAGGGTACAGGTACTTCAATTTCTACATTTGTTCCCGTGCTGGAAATGAGAAAAACAAATGCTATGTAAGTTGGTCATTCATGCCACCAGAGGCACATTATTATTGTTAGAAACAGGCACCTTCTTTCCTTGAACTGGCTCCTTGCCTTCACCATGATCTCTATCCGGCTTCTTGAATGCTTCTCAACTTGTGCTTCTACCCAGATCAGAGGCTTCACCTGCAGGAGGGACCAAAGCAAGATGTTTCATGCACTAATGTCAAATGTGTGCCAGGACTTGGCATCTCATATGTCACCAAATGGTTCCTGGTTGTAAAACACAAAGAACAAACCTGTGTGGTGAGTCGGTAAGTCATTAGATCAAAAGCTCCATCCGGAGGAACGAATGATATAGTCCTATCATTCTCAAATCTGGTCAACCGAACACACCTAAAAAAAGGATTGGTCAATATAAACCCTAAAGTGACTACTAAGATAAAATGAATATAGTAATCGTGTGATCTTACTGATGAAATTTGATATCATCCAGATCTATTGCTTTTCCTTTAGTTGCTCGGCCTTGAGCTTCCAAAAGAACTCTATCATTCAACCCAAGTTTACACTCCGGCATTCCACTGTTACAAATACATGCATATCAGCCATGATGAATATATCTCACAGGATATACAGGGAAAACATAGTCGGATAATATTTGGACCCGTTAACCCGAAAGACCAGAAGTTGAAACCAGCTGGTTCGAGTCAAAGTTTAATTATCATTTGTAACTTAAATAATCCAGTTCATTTATCAGGTACAACTTGATGATATTATCTGTAAGAGAACTAAGTAAAGTCTGCTTGTTCAAGACACTTGCAATACGTATGTTGTAGTTGACAGGGTATGTATACACTTTATTAGTCTTTATTCCTCACTGTCAATTTGTTTGAACTGCTACTACACACTCCTAATTTAAAAGGTTACAGGAATGTGTTGGATAATATAATCTAGCTACATCTTCACAGAGCTACATGGATGTGATTCACATTAAATTTATTACTACAAGCAGCTGACTTATAAGCATAGAGTGAATTTGCAGTATGACTGTGGGAATGATATCATGGAGTTACCTCAGAAATGTCCGCATCTTCAGCGCACCGATGATGTCAGATCTCACAATCTGCCCATTGCTATTGACAAGAATGTTGACACTCTCAACCACATCCAAGAACACCTGCGATACACAAGTCAACAATTTTCCCATCACACAACCATCAAAGTGAAGCAGAGTAAACAGGGGCAGGGGTGTAATGTATCGCACTTCATTCTTCTTGTATCGAATCCCCTCGCTCCGCCATGACACGGCATTCGTCACTGCCATGGGTGGCCTCTGTGTGACCTCCATCCTGTATGCATCGGTCTTAATGAACTCACTCAGGATCGTCGCCTCTGTGTATTGCGGATAGCCAAAGTCCATCATCTCATCAAGTAGCTCATACTGCGCAGAACAAAGGGCGTCCATAAGCCCCTCCAATATCAGTGGCAGCAACTCAAACTGAACCAAACCCCCAACTCATGTAACGCAGAAACGCACCACATACCACGACGACGAAGTTGTCCCTCAGAGATTCCTCCTCCAACTCCTCAAAGTAGTGCTTGAACACCTGCGCCCACGCACAGATCACATGAGCAGAATGCCCGTTGCTACTACTTGCTCGCAATGCTAAAGAGAGGCACTGCTCGCTGCAGTGAGAATGGCGGCGTACGTACATCGACGAGGCGGTGGAGGAAGAGCAGGATGCTGGCGGCATTGCAGTTCTGGCGGGCGGCGGTGAGGAGGAAGACGTTGTTGTGCTGGATGAAGGTGTAGGAGACGCCGGCGCCGTCGTGGACGACGGGCGAGTGGACCTCCGCGTCGCCCTGGTGACCACGGGAAGCGGAAGCAGGGCAGAGCTCAGACCGCAATCCGATGCTGCACAGATCTGAGAGGAGAAGGAGGACGGGCGCACTGACCTCCTTGTCGAGCAGCTTGGTGAAGAAGCGCTCGGCCTGGAGCGCGGTGACGTCGCCGCGGTAGTCGCGCCAGACGAGGACGCGGCCCTTGATGTCGAGCAGGAACAGCGCCGACACCGCCCCCGCCATGCGGGCGGGGCACGCTGGATCTGGATCTGCCGGTGTGGTGCCTGGCTGCGTGGTCGGCGGCGGGCGGCGAGCGGCTCGGGCGGCTGCTGGCTTTGGGCCTCGGCCGCTGAGGCCTCCGGATCGGCCGCGGCTCTGGCTGCTGTGCACGCGCGCGCCGTGTTTGAGTGGGGGAGGGGAGGGGAGATCGGAGCCGGGACTGACGACGGCGGGGAGGTTGTGCTGAGTGGTTGGATGGATCGGATCCGGGCGGTTCTCTTGCTGTCCCGCTGCACGGTGGGGCCAGTGCTTGGTTCCTGGCTTTGCCAGGATTAGTTGTTGGTCTTTTTAACAGGAGTAACACATGTGTGATTGATGATAAAAAAAAACAGGATCAAGGTAAGAGCATGTACGGCCCGGTCTCTGACCAATCAGGAAAATGTGATCCAGACTAACGCCTTAAACAGACATCAAACGTCGGGGCTGACCGGCACCCCTCGTCTACAGCTCAAATATGGGGTGGATATAGGGCGCTCGGGCGCGTCCGTCACGCCGGACCCGGCCCACGCTTGCCCATCCGACCACATATATATTCCTCCCCATCCGCTCGTCGAACCATACCTAGCCACTTCAATCCACTCCCCTCCGTACCCAAGCTCCCGTAGGGCGATCTCTGGCCATCTATGGCATGGCCGGCAGCAGATCCGAGTCCTTCACCTTCAGTCGACCCCGAGCTCATCCCACGTGGCCCCGATGAGGAGATCGCCGACCGGCTTGCACTCCGCCGCTCCCAGGAGGAGGCCTGTGCGAGGCAGCGCTCATACTCCTTCCATTGGGAATCCATTGCGTCCACCAAAATGACGCATGGATCTTACGCTATATGTGTCGTCGCTTCCTCACAGGAGGCGGCGCGGTCCGTCTAGCGTCCGAACACGGTGACAGACGCGCAACCCCTCCGTTGGCGCGCCGAGGCCATGGACGCATCATGGGCGTTGTATGACGTAAACAACATTAGATTGTGGAATTGGCTCACTTACTTGGAACAACAAAGTCTTCAAGGGTACAAGCCATAACAATTTTTTGGATTTTGAATAACAAAACTTGGCACAAAATAAAAACTAGAACAAGAATAAAAATTGAAACAAAAAACTCTGACAAAAACTCTAGCACAATGACTAGTGACACAATTCCTCCCCGACAACGGCACCGAAAAAAGGTTTGTTGAGTCTCTTTAGTGATCCGGTAACGAATAGCAAAAACGTTCCCGCCTCTTTTCCTTAAGGTGTGCCCTGAGTTATCGAACCGTGAGAGGACATGCACTACACCAAAGGTTGCTAACAAGCTTTTGCAAATGGATTAGATTTCAGTTCTTATACCGGATCAAAATCACCTTTGTTACTAAAACACTTATAATAAAAACACGGCATGAGGACTTGATTCTTACAACCATACATTTTGTGATCGGGATCATCATGATCTTAATTTGTGCTCTTAAGACACCCATTAAGATGTGCTTGCATCGAGACATAGTGGGTGTTGTGTCCCAATTACATATTGATCGAAACATGCCATGCATATATTTACTACCCTTATAAAAGAACGAAGTGCGGAGATCCAAGTCCATCCTATCCATCCATACACCTGATCGTATAGCCCATAATAATCTGATCTTTAGTGCTAATTGTAATTACTGCTCCACCTCTTCAAACGCACGCCTGCATAGTCCCGAGTCACCTCTAGTCGGACGGGTCCGTCAATAAAAAACCGTCCAGTCGCACTCCTCGCTCCTCGCCTCACTCACATAGTTCTAGTTCCCCTTCCCCGCTCCTCGCCTCCCTTATCGCACGCGGTGCCGCTCAACACGTCATCTGCACCGCCCTCGTTGGCGAAATCCAGTCGGCCCCCTCGCTCCTCGCCGACCTCCATGATCCTCGCGGTGACGCCGTTCCTGGTGGAAGGACTTCAAGCCAACACGGCCCCCACCGCCCCTCACCAACGGACTTGCAAACACTCGCCGCTGCCGCCCCTCGCAACTGGGCTTGCGCCAGCACGGACCTGCCAGCCTCACATAGTCAAGGATGTTCTGTTGGTTCCCTACCGTTCACTTACCTCGATCTCCCAATGGGGACGACAAGGCCCAACATTCTTGATCTCATGCCACTAGTGCATGTAGTTGAGAGGAAGACATCCACAGCGCTATCTCTGATGTCGTCCGGCACTAAGCTGACCTTGGTCAATTCTGTTGTGACGTCGATGTTCATCTATGCAATGTGCACAATCAAATTGCACCTAAAGGTGGTTGAACATCTGGATAAACTGCGCAGATATTGTCTCTGGGCAAAAAATTCTGACTATGGAGTCAAAAACAACTCCCTTGCGGCCTGGGAACTTGTCTGCCACCCAAAGCAATGTGGAGGCCTTGGTGTCATTGATATCAGGACCCAAAATGTAGCCCTTCTCCTAAAGCATATGTTCAAGTTTTATAATCATGATGATGTTCCCTGGGTGGAGTTGATTTGGGACGCTTACTACATGAACAAAATCTTGCATGCAGCTGACGCGGTGGGCTCTTTCTAGTGGAAAGACGTAATGCAACTCAATGGGGTTTTTCGGGGGATCACCAAAGTCATCCCACGGGATGGTTCTAGCTCTTTGTTTTGGAAATATGTCTGGTTTGATAGTGGTAATGACGCTCCACTCATGGAAGTGTACCCGCGGGCTTTTCTCCTTCTGCCTGAATGAGGATGATTCCATTGCTAAGGTTCTTACTGCCACTGACCCGACCATGATCTTCAGCTTACCTCTTTCGATCCAGGCCAAAGAGGAGGTCAGAGAGATCCAGCAGGGGTCGATGCACGTATGTGTGGCCAATGACCGTTGTGACATTTGGGGATGCACGCTCGGGCGCTTATCCTCGAAGAAATACTATAATCACTGCTACAAACAGGTTGTGGCGGATGAGGCATTCGGTTGGCTTTGGAAGGCCAAGAGCCCGATCAAGTTTAAAATGTTTGGGTGGCTGCTTCTTGTGGATCGTCTGAATACCAGAAACATGCTCAAGCATAGACATTTTGCCGTCGCGGGGGGGGGGGGGCAACTATGCATGCATGTTCTGTCAAAACCCTCCCTAGGAAAATGTTGAACACTTATTCTTTACGTGCCCCTTTAGTCAACAGTGCTGGAGTAGAGTTGGATTGGCTTGGCCGGTGGGAGACAACAAACTAGCTTTGCTGCATGGGGGCAAGAATAACTGACGGCAACCTCTCTTCATGGAGATTTTCCTGTTGGCTGCCTGGAGTTTATGGATGGAGAGAAACAACCAACACTTCAGAGGGATCCAACATTCATTCAGGGCATGGCTGGCTAGATTCAAACATCTCTTGGAGTTGCTGATCCATAATTGCAGAGAGGAGCTTCATCCTTTCCTGTCTAGTTACATTGTAAATTTGGGACATTAGTGTTGGAACTACTTAAGTTTACACGGTCGGGGGGCCCCTAAAACCCATTGTAAAACATATGTAACTGTTCCTTTGTGAGTAATACAAAAGTCAGTGGGAGCCTCTCCCACTGTCGTTCACTTTCAAAAAAAAGGAAGGAGGTTGCAAGTTCCTAAAAAACAGGCTTGGCTGTATGGCTTGTCGATGTGAACACGAGCATCCGCCATCCAGGGAGTGGCCTCCGGCAACACTTCTTTCTCATCATACATCAGGCTTGGTTGTAAGGCTTGTCGACATAAGGTTTGTCAGATGCAGAGCTTGAGCCAGACGAACCTCCAGCCTTTGACCCCTCCATCGCCATAACGAGAACATTTGCTCGAGAAAGAAAACTCGGATCGAGCGATAATGGGGGGAAACCTAACTCCATTCTCAACCCTCATAGTAGATCAAGGTCGGACGGTGATGCGAGGTCACCCCTGGTTCAGCCCGAATCAAACTACCGAGGGAGATCGGGTGAGGGAAGGTGAAAACCTTAACATCCGCGGGAGTCACCCCCGGGAGAACACTACTGGAGGATGGTCCTAACGTGACACATGTATCAGAGACTCTTCGTCCAAACTATGTACGATGCATGAATCGCAAAACGGTATGGCTCAAAACGGACAAGCCTGGTCACTGGCGGGACGCATCTGCAGACATTTAAGGCCAGATTTGCTCTGTGGACAAGGGGCGAACTTTTTTTTTTAAGTCACGCCAGTTCTTTTTCTTTTCTTTTTTGAGTAACTTGAGTCACGCCAGGTCGTTTCGGCTCGGCTAGACCAGAGAGACCGGTCGGCCCATCAGGCCCTTCTTCTCCCCGTCGAGAGAGAGTTTGCTCCGGGCTCGGCTTCTCTTCTTCCTTTTCGAGCTCCCACGCCGCACGCCCCTCATCTCCCTCCCCTCCGCCCCCCTGTCCCACGCGCCGCGCCAATCCCCACCACTCCCAACGTCACCGGCGCCAGGCCAGCTCCACCCAACATCCATCACCCGGAACACGAGATCCGAAAGGCGGGCGGGCGGCGGCGGCGGCGGCGGCTCGGAAGATGGCGGCCACGCTGCCGCAGCTGGACGACGGCATCGTCCGCAGCATGGCCATCGGCGCGGTCTTCACCGACTACGTGAGTTCCATTGCCTAACCCCTATTTGTTCCTTCTGTCCACGCTAATCTGTCGCGGCGAATCCGTTGGCAGGCCGGGAAGATAAGCTGCCTCGATTTCCACCGCAAGGAGGACCTCCTCGTCACCTCCAGCGAGGACGACTCCATTCGCCTCTACAACACCACCAGCGCCACGTGAGTCCGCCGCTTGTGTTTTTTACATCTGCTCTGTTGGTGCTTCTGTCTGTGTTAACTGAACCTCGGTGTGCTAGAGAGGTTACAGCATCTACTGCAGGATGGGAAGTGTCTGGCATCTACTGCATCTCGATTGTTGGCCTATAGGTATGAGTGACAGTGTTGGGTTCTGCTGTTTGGGGATGCTGGTAATGCGCCACTTTGATCTTAGTGGTGTCTAGCAGTGATGCCTCTGTGAGTATGTTAGTAATAAAATTTATGGTGATATGCTTCACAACTAGGAGCACAGCAGCATTAGGCCATTGGCTATTTGTGATGCAAACCCCTAGTAATCTGATGTTGCATGTGTTAGACATAATTCTGTAGAATTACATGGTAGGATCTTTACGCTTAGGCATTAGATCACCAAAACATGATTAAACAGAGGTAGATCTGTAAGAGCACAAACGTTGGTTCGTGGCTCCGCCCTTTTACATCATGTTATCCTTCCATCCCAGCGGGCCGTAGATCAATTCCAACATTCCCCTCCTTGATTGTTAGTCTCAACAACTTTTGCCCATTCTCCATAGGAATAATATACGAAAGTAAGGTGTTACAACAACCAATGAAATGTCGTTGAACCTCAATACTTATAGTACGCATCCTATTTTGAAATGAAAAACATATTACTTGTTGGGAGTTGTTCATGATAACGTCCCATAATTCCAGGATCAGAAGGCTTCCGATAATCCCATGCCGGCTACATGCTCACGAAAAATATTAGGTGTTAAGCCTTTAGTGAGTGGATCCACAAGCATACTTGTCGTCCTGATATGCTTAACATTAATAGTTTGATCATGGATTCTATCTTTCACGACATGATATTGTATGTCAATATGCTTGGCACCAACACTTGACTTGTTGTTACTCGTATAGAGAACTGCGGGTTCATTATCGCAGTATAATGTTAGTGGTTTGAAGTGTTGTCTACCACTTCAAGTCCGGGAATAAAATTCTGTAGCCATACTGCCTGCCCAATGGCCTCATAACATGCTATGAATTCTGCCTGCATCATGGATTTCTTAGTACCTGCCTTGCAGTAGCTTTTCTATGATATGGCTCCTCTGGCGAGTGTGAATATATAACCTAGCATGGATTTCTTACTGTCCCTGCTGGGGCACACACCCGGCAAAATCAGCGTCTGGATAACCAACAACTTCCACGTTATCAGACCTTCTATACGTAAGCATGAAATCTTTAGTGCCTTGCATGTAACACAATACTTTCTTTATGGCCTTTAAATTTAATCAATGTTCAGGATATCGGTAACTATAGAACATAAACCCGCTTCTCCTCAAGATCCATTGCCCTAACCTTTGTGACTCCATTATCGTCAAAAACACCGCTTGCCCAGTCTCCACAAACTTGGTGGTATGACCTGGGCAATAAAAACAATATCCCTTTCCTCTATGAGCTTACCCAATGAAAAAAGAACTAATTGTCTTTGGGCCTAACTTTTAAATTTGTGGATTCATATTTTAGCTTCAGCAGGGGCAGCCACACACATGCAAGTAATTCAAGCTTGGTTTCTTTGGTAATCTTGAACAGCTAAGCATGGTTCACACCATATCCATAAGGGTGTGATTGCGACGCTCAACCACGCCATTTTGGTGAGGTTCACCAGGCGTTAAATAATGAGCAATGAGTCCATTCATAGCTCGGGACTTGGTAGTAAGTTCCTAATCTACCTCTATGTTTAATCATGTTTAGGTGATCTAATGTCTAGGCCAATCGATTCTATCACGCTATCCTAAAGAATTATGCCTAACATTGGTATCAGAGCGTTCTATTCCCCCTCAAAATGTGGCCCAAACGATGGTGACACAATTTTGAAGAGTTACTAACGCCTTTCCATTTCTTCTCATCTTTCATTCATCACTCACATACGTAAAAAAATCATTAAGGAATAACAACAACAACAACAACAACAACAAAGCCTTTAGTCCCAAACAAGTTGGGGTAGGCTAGAGGTGAAACCCACAAGATCTCGCAACCAACTCATGGCTCTGGCACATGGATAGCAAGCTTCCACGCACCCCTGTCCATAGCTAGTTCTTTGGTGATACTCCAATCCTTCAGGTCTCTCTTAATGGACTCCTCCCATGTCAAATTTGGTCTACCCCGACCTCTCTTGACATTCTCCGCACGCTTTAGCCGACCGTATGCACTGGAGCTTCTAGAGGCCTGTGCTAAAAATGCCCAAACCATCTCGGACGGTGTTGGACAAGCTTCTCTTCAATAGGTGCTACCCCAACTCTATCTCGTATATCATCATTCCGGACTCGATCCTTCGTCGTGTGGCCACACATCCATCTCAACTACGCATCTCCGCCAAACCTAACTGTTGAACATGTCGCCTTTTAGTTGGCCAACACTCAGCGCCATACAACATTGCGGGTCGAACCGCCGTCCTGTAGAACTTGCTTTTTAGCTTTTGTGGCACTCTCTTGTCACAGAGAATGCCAGAAGCTTGGCGCCACTTTATCCATCTGGCTTTGATTCGATGGTTCACATCTTCATCAATACCCCCATCCTCCTGCAACATTGACCCCAAATATCGAAAGGCGTCCTTCTGAGGCACCACCTGCCCATCAAGGCTTTCCTCCTCCTCACATTAAGGAATAACATGTATAATTTGCCTCGTCTGACACCGAGGCCAAACATGCATTCATACATGTCATCATCCACACAAATTCCTACTTAATGTAGATACATAAAAACCATAATTGAATCATATAGCTGGTATGAAGCTCCAAATTCCATTAGCTACCTTAAGTTTTCTTGCCCCTTGAGTTATAACTTGGGTCGTAACGAATCCCTACATGGAGCTAGCAACTAGAGCAGTTGCACCTGAATCAATCCACCATGACATTTGAGAGAAATCAACATAAAGTGTTTCATCATCAGAAGTTATTTCATCAATACCTTTTTTGTTAGCCATTTGAGAAGCCCGGCAATCCCTCTTAATATGTTCTGAGTGTTTGCAAAGGTTGCAAAGTCTCTCTCCATTAGCATTCATAGCCTTAGCATTAGAGGGAGCTGGAGGACCCGAACGAGAGCAATTTGCCTCTTTACATCCCTTAGGCTTTGGGTCATCTTTCTTGAGGACTTGCTTTTTGTTGGGCTTATGATTGTCCTGGTTTCATGCTCTCTCTTTGCAGTGTTAACATGAAAAGATGACCAGGCTTTGGGTCATCTTTCTTGAGGACTTGCTTTTTGTTGGGCTTATGATTGGCCTGGTTTCATGCTCTCTCTTTGCAGTGTTAACATGAAAAACATGGTCCTTTTGTTTGCCTGTTCGAGTTGCTCTTGCTCCGCTCCTCCAGCCCTCTAATGTTAATGCTATGAATGTTGATGGAGAGACTTTGCATCTTTTGCAAACACCCAGGACAAGTTAAGAGGGATTGTCAAGACTTTCTCAAATGACTTAACAAAAAAGATATCGATGAAATCACTTTTGTTGATGAAGCACTTTAAGTTGATTTCTCTCGAATGTCATGGTGGATTGATTCAGGTGCAACTGCTCATGTTGCTAACTCCTTGTAGGGATTCGTTACGACCCAAATAATAACTCAAGGGGCCAGAAAACTCAAGGTAGCTAATGGAATTGAAGTCGATGTTGGAACCGCAGGATCTCTCACATTGGAGTTTCATACCAGCTATATAGGCTTCAATTAAATAATGGTCTTTATGTATCTATGTAAAGTAGGAATTTGGTTTTCGTTTCTTGCTTGGATGATGACATGTATGAATGCATGTTAGGCAACAAACAATTTGTTTTAAATAAGTGTAACAAAAATGTTGGCCTTGGTGTCAGACGAGGCAAATTATACATGTTATTCCTTAACGTTTTGTTATGCATGTGAATGATGAATGCAAAGATGAGAAGAAATGAGAAGACATCAGTAACTCTTTGAAACTGTGGACACTGTCGTTTAGGCCACATTCGCCGGGGGGTGTTAAGCGTAGACATTAGATCACCTAAACATGATTGAATAGAGAGATGATTAGGAACTTAGGGCCAGTTCTTTTGGGGCTTATGGGTGGCTACCAAAATAAGCTGCCCCCTACCCAGCTTATTCTGGCAGCCCAACTTAAAATTTTATTATAGAAGCCTACTAATTAAGAGCTTATTTTAGCAGCCATCCATAAGCCTGAAAAGAACTGGCCCTTATTGCCAATGGGTGCAGCAATTGGCTTAGTGGGGCGATATCCTGCGCTTGCTTGATGCAGGCGTGACACAGGCTCAGTGAAGATGTTGGTGACGGGTACCGGCACTGTCCTGGTGCCGTCAGAGATGGCCTTCCTGTCGCGGCAGCGCCTCCCCTAGATCGGTTTAGGGGTTTGGGATGTGGGGAGCAGCAGAAAACCATATGTGAACTGGTCATACGTAGGTGTCCGGCTGCTCCCCCTCCTTTTATATTGCCCAGGGGACCGAGACAACGTTGGTTAGGGATGCCCCTGAGGGCACGTTAGTTTGGGGTGAGGGGCACGAACTTTGGTTCATGGCCCCTCCCCTTTACGTTACATTATCCTTCCAGCCCAGTGGGCCGTAGATCAATTCCAACAGCATGTTGGTCAGTACGATCCCCTTAGATGATTTAATGTTGTTTGTACTGGCAGTATATTTGTTCATGGTTATGCTGCAGTATGCCATGGTCTTATTTTTTCCCCCTACTACAGTCGTTTGTTTTTCTTTGTCAGATTTAACCTTTTTGTATGCGACCCTGCATGATGCCGACATTTTGCTTTGTTTCATGTCATTGACTATTAGTGACGAATGCTAGAATTTGGACTGTTTTTTTAGGTTGTCGAAGACTACTTATCATAAAAAACATGGTGCTGACCGTGTCTGTTTTACTCATCATCCGAGTTCCATATTATGTTCATCAAGATACAATGTGGAGTCAGGAGAATCACTTCGTTACCTGTCATTGTATGACAACCGTTGCTTGAGATATTTCAAAGGACACAAAGACAGGTTCAACAAATTTTGCTTGGATTCTTGTTTTTAGCAACTATTTCAAGGGTCAGATGCTGAGGCCTGCATTCTTTTTTATGTCATTTCAGGGTTGTTTCACTATGTATGTCACCTGTCAATGATAGCTTTATGTCGGGGTCACTTGATCACAGTGTCAGAATATGGGATCTTCGTGTAAATGCTTGTCAGGTTTGGCCACAGAATCTGTTAATTTGATCACAAATAACTTAAATATGCATATTTTGTATTTAGCTGATGAAAAGTACCAATTTACCCTCAGTGCTTTTCATGCTTACACGTTTAGCATTCAGGGTATACTGCGTCTGCGTGGTAGGCCTTCTGTTGCATATGATCAGCAGGGACTTGTTTTTGCTGTAGCAATGGAGGGAGGTGCTATTAAGCTGTTTGATTCTCGGTCATATGACAAGGTCTGTATTGAACTTGAATCTGGAAGTCATATATCTAAAAAGCATGTGAAATTCTCAATCTTGTGAAAGAAACCACTTTCAGGGTCCATTCGACACTTTCTTGGTTGGTGGAGATACGGCTGAAGTGTCTGACATTAAATTCAGCAACGATGGCAAGTCTGTGCTTTTGACTACAACTAACAACCATATATATGTTCTAGATGCATATGGAGGGGAGAAGGTCAGTTAGCACTATAATTGCAGAATTTTGCTTCAGATATCGAACTGTAAAGTGCACAATTTCCTATATCTTGTCATTAACAACATAACATATGAACTCATCTTTGTCTGTTATTTTGCAGAAGTGTGGCTTCAGCTTGGAGTCATCTCGCAACATAGCAACTGAAGCTGCTTTCACTCCAGATGGTCAATATGTAATTTCAGGTAATATTCGGTTTTTTCGTGCATCTTCCTTAGGATATTCTGCTGCATACTACTCCCTCCGTTCCTAAATATAAGACCTTTTAGAGATTCCACTATGAACTACATACGGATGTATATAGACATATTTTAGAGTGTAGGTTCACTCATTTTGCTCCGTATGTAGTCCATAGTGAAATCTCTAAAAGGTCTTGATATTTAGGAACGGATGGAGTACCTCTGAATTACCCACATGTTGACCTGTAATTAAGCCTTAGCATATAATATCATCTCTAGTCTCACCTTTTTCTCCCTTTTGCCTTTACTTTGGGAAGATAGTATAAAGATTCATCAGTATATTTTTCACCTTCAACTTGTGTGTAGTTGTTTTATCAGCATTAGAGAGGCACTTATAGTTACAGTTTTATATACTGCTTTCATGCCAAGTAAAAAGTCAAAAGATCATAGTGATGATAATACATCTGATATGGTGGTATGCTTCCCATTCTCAATTCTGGAGCACTATTGCTGAAAGTGAAACTTGGAAATGTCAAATTTGCTAGAATGCTTTAAAAAAAAGCACTGACCAGGCTGCGTGGCAAAAGCTGTTGCTGAAAATAACATGCGCGTTGATGTTGCAGGATCTGGTGATGGTACCTTGCATGCTTGGAACATCAATACAGTACAGGAGGTAGGTACCACTTTCTTAAACTTTGATTACAGCCCTGTGTTTTGTTGGCTTAGTTTCTTTTCCTGTTGCAGATTGCCTGTTGGAACAGTCATATTGGTCCTATCACTGCTTTGAAATGGGCCCCTCGTCGAGCTATGTTCGCAACTGCATCGACAGCACTGACTTTCTGGATTCCCAACGAATCCAGTTCGAGTTAGGTCTCTGAGGAAGGGAGATGGAACATGGAATGCGCTAACTTAACAAAAGGCTTGTATCATGTTCTTTCCTTGACAGGACAGGTACTATGTATGAAGTATCACTTGCTTTATTACCATATATATGTGGAAACAGTGATGTTGGTTCCCTGTAGAATGTATTGAAGTGCTCCCTTTATTTCTTAAGTACTATATAATATTGCACACTTGCTCATTATGTTCTATTGTGGTTCCGTCATTGTACATAAAATCGCCCCGTATTCTTCCCCTGTGCTATCCTACTGCATTTGATATGGAGAATCGGGAACTTGTTCCATATTCTTTTGTTGCTGGAACAGGGTAGACTTTTGCTTAGAATATTATAAGCTGGCCTTCTTATATCGCTAAAGCTCTCAGATCCCTGATATTCTTTTATCACCCCAAGAAGATGAGGGCATAACCTTCTCTTTGATTTGCCGACTCATTATGTTGGAACCTGATCCTTAGTGTCACCTTGTTATTCTTAGAAAAGACGCTGAATTAAACCATTGCTAACTTCGTATTCTTACAAAGCGAATGATTTAAACCACTGCTCGCTTTTAAATGGTGTTGATAATCCTGACTGTAGAACTTTTAAAAGATATCAGAACAATTACAGCAGCTTCACCTTGTAGAAGTTTTTAGTTTCCTGGAGGAACTTCTCTTAATGGTTGGATATTCAATCATGTGCGCCTTGGGGTAATCCCAAGTGTTCATTTACATGAAAAACTACGCAAATTCATCTTACATCCACCTGATTTCATGTCTATTTTGGCACTGATGATTTTCATTAGCAGAACTTGAAGAACTACCATGGGAATACACCTGCTAACTTCTCTAATGCAACAATACAAGAAAAGGAGACCAAACGAAAGGGCAAGGTGCAAATTACAGAACCATCAGTCGTCTACACCAAGGCGGTCCATTAAACCCGAAATAGCGCCTTGCATCATTATTACTACTGGGAGCAGCAAGGCGCAACATACAACATGAAGCACTAAACCATAAAATCAACACCACTAGTCATCTATCAAACATGCAACAATGGAGCAGATTTCCTGCCCAAGAGACACCCTACTTCTGCCTCTTGTAGATCTTGTGCAAGAAGGACTTCAGAACCTTCTGAACAGCGTCGCTCGGCTGGGCTTCGATATCAGCAATCAGCTTCTTGTAGCTCTCGCTCTCGTACTCATGAAATACCGCCTGCAATAAATAATAGTCAAACCAGTGGTTAGACAATGCCATATTTTGCAGAGTATGAGAATGCCAGTAGCTCTTATTATATGAGACACAGTATTATTCTGACCGCTCCAGCAAGAAGTTTTCAACAGCAGACAATTATATTTGCTGACTATGAGAATCCAGTAGCTCTTATTATAAGACACAGGTAGATTATTTTGACAGGCCCGGCAGGGAGTTTTCCAAATGAAGTTTTGGTTTTCAAAGATACGAGGAATAATTTGATGAATACTTGGTAAAACATTTCCTGTGAGCATGTTATCAAAACTAAACAGGCTTAAGTGAATGAAATGGATTGATGCGTTATACTCTGATTCATAGTCCTACTAAATCCATTACAGTCCACATATAAATATAACAGGGTTAAGAGTTAAGACAAACCTCAAGGTTAAGTTCTTTGTAGAGATCCTTCACTTTTGCCACGCATGCTGGATCTTTCTTTCCATAGTTTTCCTGTAGAAGCATTAACTGTTCAGTGACAGCCTCCATATTATTACGAAGGGCAAAGTAGTGCAAAGGTGACTCACAAATAGAATGCTCTTTTGGCTCTCATCAGCACGCTCAAGAGCTTGGACAACTAGCCAGGAGCACTTGTAATCTTCAATGTCGGTGCCAATCTATGGTAAGACTCAACATTGATGAAATTGCAAGAGCTAAATAGAACATATCAACAATAGAACAATGTCCATTCATTTTTAAACGGGCACATGCAGTAATGCACTAACCTTGCCAATAAATTCAGGATCACCATAACAGTCTAGATAATCATCCTGTAATAAGAAAACGCATATTAATGCTAAGTAGACTAATGGTGGTCGCAGCCAAAAGATTCATATTGTAATGTGTAGCAAACATAGGAGTTACCTGAACTTGGAAGTAAGTTCCCATCTCAACAAGTATGTTCTCTACAGCACCGTAGTTCTCCAAACTCTCACCAGAGAGTAGCAGCGCACACGCAACCTTTCATAAAGCAGCAGATCAGCACCAGTTGAATCAGCATCAATTGCCAAAACAGAGGTGTACAGAGAAGCTAAAAGAAAACATAGAATGATCATTTTACCGGCAGATAAAATGAATAGTAGGCTGTCTTGAATTGAACAATTCGGCGGTGGCTGCAAAAATATCAGAGCTTCATATTAACAATAAACAAAGGGTATATCACACATCGATTATTACCAAGAAATATCAGACAACAAAAGAAGACTTGTGCTCCTAAATTTATGCGCGATGAAGCATGCTAAAGAAGTTTATCTCAGAGTTGGCACAACATTAACTTACACTCCAATGTTATATTTTGTTAGATCTTTTTCTCCCTCGTGGGTTGTAATAAGATCCAGCATTTGACCAGAAGCTGTCTTGAACTCAACCTGGAAAAACATGACAAGGTAATCACCACCTGTAATGATCCACAAGTTCAGACTGCACATGTTTCCTCAGCATAATATTTACTTACCTCGTTGAATAAATCAAGGAGATCGGCATAGTAAGGCTTCTTCTTAAAGTGGAGCCGAAGCATTCTCGAAATATGGTTGCGAAGGAGAATCCCATCATTTACAGCAATCAAGCCAACCTAGTTTATCAGAAAAGGGCAGCATTAGGGATAAGTTTATTTGTAAAATTGGAAAGAAGGGACTACAGAATGTTCTTGAATGAAGACAAATGAGTTTTTTGAACACTGTAGCTGGAAAGGGCAATTTAGTTCTCACTAACCCGAGACACCCTAAACCAACAAGGCTGCCCACGTCGAGTGTGGGAGTCGTCCATGATATCATCAAGCACAAGAAAGAAGGCTTGGAGCTACACAGACAGCAGCAAATCTTAAGGTGGGCAATTTTGGTTGCTTCAAATTCAGCGGAGCAACACTGAGAGACGAGGAATTACCCATTCAATGCACCAACCGAGAGTGGAGGCAAGAAACATCTCCTCCTCACTAAGAACATCGACACCTTTCAACAGCTTATAGCTATCGACCACGGAGAGCCCACGGTTGCACTTTCCTATCATTAGCAACAACAACGGGTTAGAAACGCGGTACCTTCTTGTAGTACCACTTGAGAAGAAAACCTGTAGCTCGAATTCATCTTCTCACCTCCCAGTACATTGTAGTCCAGCATCTGCTCCGAAAAAGAAAATAAAGGCACGGTGCGTTAAAAATAGCAGAACTGAACCAATAAGAAGATTATTGTTCATCCAGTCTCTGGAGCATCTTACTGAGATTTTTTTTTTACATAAAAGTAAAAACAGCATGCAAGACCCAACATCATACCTACACATTAATGACAGGGAAATGGATTTCCACATATAGAAGTAAATAATGACCACGCATGCTCTGTTTTAATAGCAGTACTTATAATAATCCACTTCGAAGAATTTGAATCAAACAGAAACGATTACTACGTATTTGACATTAAAATTGTGACTATACTAATAACTTGTGAGCACCATCTTCCTCTTAAACTAGAACAGCCTTCCAGCAGATCACTTGCAATTGGAAAGCATTTAACTAATTCTACTTATTAACTGTGCAGGAGCTTCAGGTTTTCGTTTCTCTGCTTGCTATTTGCTAAATATGATCCAGCCTTCCGCAGCAAACCAAACCAACGTGTAGGGGCATTAAGCAATTAATTGCTGATTCAGCCTTGGGCAGCAAACCAACGGAGTACTAGTACTACTAGCAAGCCAAATTGATTGCGCTCCCACCCATCAAGGAGCCGATCTCGCGCCAGCTGATCCCAGTCAAATCTTAACAGCAGACCCCAGCGGAACCCAGCAAGGAAACAGGAGCTGGAGCCAGCGGGGCGGGACGAAACGCGGAGGAAAGCGGAAGCAGAGGAGGAGGGGAGGGAAGGGTCAAGGGAGCATTACGCGGTCGATCCACTCGTGCGACGACTCCGTGTACTCGAAGGCGGGGTCCCGGAGCAGCTCCGCCTTGAGCGCGTCGTAGATCCGCGCGAACGCCGCCTTGCTCTCCCCGCCCCCGCCGTTCTCCGCCGCCGCCATTGCCTCAAACAGGGGAGGGAAGCCGAGGAGTAAATCGGCCGAGGGGGAGGGCGGGTGACCTCAGTACGGCTGCGCTGGGAGATTTTCGGGGGACGGATGGCGGGTGGCGGCTAGGAGGGGCGCGGGAGTATTTTAGGGGCGGGGCTGCGACGGCGACGGGTGATGGGCGGAGGGGAGACTGGAGGGAGATCGCGATGGCGTCGAGCTCGGAGCACTGGCAGCGGCTGCCAGTATTAATATATACTGCTACGAGTAGCAGTAGAGTAGTACTAGTAGAGAGAGGAGAGGGGGAAGGGAGGGAGGGAGACGAGACGATGCGTGCGCGATCTGGATCTGTGCTGCCGCTGCTGCCGTGCTGGAAATTTGGGACTATACGCGTGGGTTCGCAGTTCGAATCCGCATAATTTATAGTTTCCAGCGCGTTCGTCGCTGGCCCGGCCGGGGCTGGTTGGCCTTTGCTTTGCTCTCTACTAGCAGCCGTCCGACCACTGACTTTGTTGCTCTAAAAAGGAAAATCTGATGACTAATTCGACTAATCAACATGCCGTGTTTGAATGAACGAATGAATTACGGGCGTTTATATCCCGGGCTTTGCTGGTCGAGAACAAAATATAGGCCCCCCGCAAAAAAAAAGAAAAGAAAGAGAACGAAATATAGGGGGAAACAAGGCGATATTTTCATGAAAAAAAAGGTTTAACGTGTTGATCGACGGGGCGTGCTCGAAAGATGTTAGGTGGCGTCGCATC